CCAAACAGGAGAGATAAAGTAAAGAATTCTGAGAGCAGGTTGGGAAAAACAAAAGGTTACCTACAAAGGAACCCAATAAGACTAAGCTTTGATTTCTCAGCATAAACCATACAGGCAAGAAGGCAATGGGATAATGTATATCAAACTTGGAAAGAAAAAAAATGTCAACCTAGACTCATATACCCAGCAAAGCTGTTCCTCAAATACAGTGGCAAAATTAGGTTGCTTCCTGATAAACAGAAATTAAAGTAATTTATAATGATCAGACCAACTTTACAAAAATATGCTGAAGTGTGTTCTTTGGACTGAGAACCAACAGCAGTAGACAACAATCTGAGATTACCATACATGACAACACCACCCACAACTTAATCCAGATACAGAAGCATTTAAAGTAAAACAAACCTATAAGACTGAAAATAGGGAACCAGAGATATCAATTTATAATGACATTAGCTACAAAGGAAAAAGAGGTAATAGTGTAGATACAGAACATCCAAATGGCTTGGAAGTCTAGTAGATTTCAAGATAAAACAAACTGTTTTAAATAGGGAAATAATAAATTATAGGTTAATCTTAAAGAAACTTAATACACCTGCACATCAGAATTGTTGAAAAAAAGAGGAAAACCAGATAGATTCAGTGAATATTAACACAATAGAAATGAAGAAAATGAAAAGAAAACCCACAAATAAAATGAACTCAGCACAAAAAATTATGTGGAACAAAGAAGCAAGCAGCATCACAAAAATACACAGCAAAATGACAAAATCAATTCATATCTATCAATAATTACACTGAATGTAAATGGATTATATACACTAGTCAAGAGACAGAGAGTGCAGAATAGATAACAGGATCCTTCAATATGCAGTCTACAATAGACACATAGAAAAGACAGAAAGAGCCTAGATTCCCATCAACAGAAGAATGGCTAAACAAACTTTGGTACATAAACACAGTGGAATACTATGCAATGCTGAAGATGCAGCTGCAAAAGACATTATGCTGAAACAGTCACTCACAAAAGGACAAATAATGTATGAGACAAGTGTGTAAAAAAATATATATATTGATAAAAGAAACAATCAATGATGGTTACAGGGGGAGGGGAGAGGGAAATTATTCCCAGACTAGAGGGTAGACACATGCTAACATGGGTAACAGGGAAGACAATATACAAAAAGAGGGAGGTTAACAAAGGAAAGATTAATACAGTGGGACACACAAGGAGAATGCAATAGTTAAAGTGAATAGAAGTAAATGCTGTTAACTGTTGATACATGGAAGGGATTGTAATCATTGTAATGAAGTAACATATATGATTTGCTGAATATAAACTTATGATCTGCTCTGTAAACCTTCATTCAGTTCAGAAGAAAAAGTTTAAAAAACTAAATAGATGAATAAATGAATGAGTTAAAGAAAAGCAAAGAAGAAATTCATGATGTGAGGTACATGAAGATTCCTAATATGGAGCGTCCATGTGCCAAAAAAGAGTACTCTAGTGCCCCACATGTATCAATGTCTTTCCTCAAAGAGGAAACCATTGGAGCTACTGTGTCCAGAGCTTTTATTGGTTTCATTGCTTGATGCCTCTTTGCATATGCATTATTGAATCATGCTCCTTTCTTTTCCTAACATAAGTTAATATCAGGCCATAAGGTCGTCCTTCTGGCTTGGCCAGACCCCTAGCCATTAGCTCAAATTCTCTTGTATACATTTTAGTTCTAAAATTCTACTGCCAGTGAGTTGATTCAAACATGAAAACTGCCCTATATGGTCTACTGATACTGAGTGCATGACAGCTATTAAAATAGAACACTGTTCGTCAGGAAAGACCAGTACCTGGAGAAAACATCATGTTGGTAAAGTAGAGGTCAGTAGGAAAAAAAAAAGACACAGATATTATCCTGGAAACCTCAGGTTCCAAAGACAGGATAGAAAACTGGATCAACTCTCCAAAGTAAAACAAACCTATTAGACTGAAAATAGGGCACCAGAGATATCAATTCATAAGAGAAAACAATAATGAAGAGGGAATTAATAGGATAGTTACAAAGCTTTCAAAAGGAAAGAAACTCAAGTTGATTTATATATAAAACAGACTGTTTCAGACTTGAGAAGAAGGTATGGTGCCATAGGATAAGCACTCAACCTCAAGGTCAGTTTGAATAGCAAGGTCAGTGGTAAACTCACT